CAGCTAGTTAGCCTGACGGTTAGTTCCCCGGAGGCGGAGACGGATTCAAATACTCGAACCAAAGCAGCACTTCACCGGGTTATAATCACTCTGCGGTGCTCTCCGGACTCCTCCTGGCGTTAATACTGCTGCGGTCTCCGAATACAGAGCAGCTTCTACGGCCGCTTCGCTCCGTTCGTCCGTCCGGTGAGAGATTTCATCAGACAGCCCGGGGACCGTCGCCTATGACGCGAATCTCTATTTCCGGGAGGCCGCGGGCAGGGAGTGCAGGAGGAGGTGCTGTTCGCTCCTGCGTCTCCGTTACATAAACGAAACTCGGGCTCCAGTGTGCCACGTGTTTATCAGCGTGAAGCTCCCACGGTCCGTTTATAGAAGCGGCTCAGAGGTGGTGAAAGGACCCAGTATGGATAGTAGCCCATAGTAACCGATGCCCATATTGGTATGAAATCGATACTTTGTTTCTATCCCCGAGTTCAGTATGTAGCTCACTGAGTGTTTTAACATGCTGTGAAACATGTCTGAACCTTTCTGTGGCGCCTGTTTTATTTACAGCCACATTAGACAGGCACGTTTACATTCAGCTCTCCAAAATAAAAGATGAAAGCTGTGTTTTATTGTGCTAACTGTGGAAAGTGAAAGTCACAGTCATCATCTAAGGAACATTTCAAAGACTAATGGTGAAAAAGGCTGAACTGGAGATGATTATGCATGCTTATATTTCTTCCCGTCTGTTTACGTGTCTTAACCAATTAGCTTTAGATCATCTTCAGACTGCAGCGCGACTCTTAACAGGCAACAACAGAAGATCTCATCACTCCAGTTTTGGCCCTCCTTCACTGGTTGCCTGTAACTTTTAGGTTTCATTTTAAAATTTTGGTTTAACCTTAAGGGCCAGACCAATGTGTTCAGAATTTGCCGATAGATGATGGTTCATCTCATGAATCAGGACACACTGCTCCCCATTCTGTTCAGTTTTATTCATATAAGGTTAAATCACAGCAGTCAACCAAAGGCACTTTATATTGTAAGATAAAAACCCTACAATAATCAGACGAACGCCTACGAGCAAGCACTTGGCGACAGCAGAACCAGGCTCAGGGACATGTGGCAGACAGACAAAGACAGGACATAGAGACACACGGCTCTCTCACATGAGCTGAAAGTATCAGTATTGGTATCGCACCGGCTCTGCATTTACTTGATATCGGATCGATACCAAAAGGCTGATGCTGGGATCAGGCGTCAAGTCCAGGATCAGAAATCATTGATCAAAATCTGACAGTAAACTCCATAAATACTGTATGCAGATATGTGTGTAAGCTAGGTGCTGGATGATGCTGTGGAGGATCACCTGCTTTTGTGTGAGGACGCGGCGAGGGTCAAAGGTCCTGCTGTCCTGTCAGCGTCACAGGAAACAGATCAGGATTAATGTAAAAACCAAAGACATCCAAACTGTTCCTACAACTGGATCTGTCACATCTGCAGTTTCACAATAATTACAGAAACAGATAAAAAGTGAACCAAA